GTCTAAAGTGCCCTCTACAGTGGTGGAGGACGCGCTATATGTGCCCTTTTTTTTCTTTCCGCCCCTGCCCTTCAAAAAGTCTGTGCACGCCACTGCTTATAACACACACATTTGACATCTGCAAAATATTTGAATTCTTTATTCCAGTGAAGGGTCTAATGTCTTTAACCCTGCTGGACATGCCAGTGAATCCAGTACTACAAATGCATATTTACCAATTAAGACCTCTGTGGTTTCCTAATTTATTTAAGTGTTTCTGTGTTGTTGTGTTCTTCTTACTGTTGCACTTGGATCCTCCATGGCTCTGACGAATGCAACAGCCTCAGAAGTGCAGGAGCGTACTGTCTCTGTCCGACCATCTCTGAACATACGAGTCATCGATGACTCATATGTCAGACAGAACGCTCCCTGGTCCTATAAAGCAGATGAACTGAAGTCATTTAGTGTTGGTGCATGGTACAATTAAACACTGAAAAGACAACAGTGAGCTATAATGTCAGTAATATCATTCCAGAGAAAGGATGGCGGATGATGGCAGCCCTACCCTGAACTGTGCCAGCTGCAGGGCCAGCTGAATAAAGGCATCTGGGCTGGTCCTGCACTTCTTGATCAGTCCTTTCCCAAACTCAGAAAACAGACAGCCATGGAAGTCCACATCATCAGCTATCTGCTTGGCTGATAGGTATGAAGTACCAATGACATCTTGGCACTAAGAAAGGGGGGGGTGAAGAAAGAACATTATCCTGATTCATTTTGTGATGGAAACGCAGCTACAATACTGTTAGGTCAAAAGCAGTAAATGATGTAAATGATGTAAGGCTCTCCTGTACCTCCTTGGGAATCTGCCACTGCAGTCGAGTGGGATAAGGCAGGCCTTTGTTCACATCCCCTTTACAGTGTCCCTCCTCTGTATAGCCAAGATGGAAGCAGTCTGTTGCAAGGACATACTACACAGGCAGAAAAAGGTAGATTAAAATATCCACAAACATTGACTTAATGTTTTGAAATACAATATCAGTACACATTTTATACCTCCCACATGTGTCCTACAATTGGTGCATCAGCCCAAGAATGTTCAGCATTTACACCCATTTTCCCATTTGGATAAGAGATCAAAGTGAAAGACTTGTCAAACCACCTATGAAAAAAGAAAGAACAGTTCTTTTTTAGTGAAACAAACCACTAAAAGTACAATCAGTGCTGCAGCAGAGACCTTTCCTTGACTTTTCTGCCTACCTGTCGTAACATTTTCCATGAAGTAGGGACTTGGCGTAACTGTCAAGTGAACGGGTAATTACAGGGTCATAACCCTGTGGCTCGTCATCTAGGGTCAGGAAAAAGGCAGCTGACTCAATGGAATCCAGGGACACTTTGTTTAATCCCTGGCTGAAATATTTAATCCGAGCCCGAGCCCATGGAACTCTAAATGGGGGGAATGTCAGAATAAGACAATTTTCAGTCTTCTTTATCGTGTGTATGCATACAGTATGTGTCCTGTGCGTGTGAGGGTGGTTGCATACCTTTTTCCTGCAGTCAGGGCAGCTAATTTGAGTTCTCCTGGCTGGGGTTCTGATGTATCATTGAGGATCCTTTGAAACTGTGTCTCAAGTTCACTGGGTAAGAGGTGACGCCCTCCAGTGTACAGCCACACTTGGAAGAAGCGGCCCTTGTGGTATACGACCAGGTGCTTACGATCCGTCAGGTGCTGCACAATATCTGCAGGGAAGGGCCAACAAGTGAAAGAAGATAGTTAATCTTAAAGATAAAATGAAGCATATTATTATAAGTATAATCACTTAGGAACCAGCAGAACCCCTTTGTTTAAACGGATGGATGAATGCTCCCCCCTTGGCCCACATACCTAATCCTGAGCACCTGCAGTACAGTTGTTAGAGGGTAAATCAGCTCTGGAACACAGTGGACTGGACTAAAAGTCAGTTGCACCTCTTGGCATACCTCAGTTAGTGACGTCAAAGCACGTATTTACCATTTAATTAATTAAGGATAATGATAAAAAAAAATGTATCATTGGAAAATATTTGTTGTGAAATCAAGTTTCAACCCAGGAGCTGTCTGCCCCATGCATTTGAGTGTTGATTCATTCTAAACTGTACAGACCAAAGCTGTTTCCTACCTGTCTCAATTCCAGGTATGCGGGTGGTGTTAAACATCCTCTCCATCTGAGTGGAACACATAGGAACTGTCCCCAAAGCCCTCAGCTAAAAAGAAAAAAAGAAAATGAAATCATCACTTTCATCACAGTTTAACCTTATTGGGGAGGAAAGTGAATAGATTTAAAGAAGCAGAAACGTTACATTTTTATACTGGGGCTAGAGAGAAGATAGAGGGTAGCAAATGACTGGGTGATTAGAGTTTTAGAAGAGTGGTAGTAAAAAGATGTTAAGTACTACCGGAGCATGTTCACCACGTTCCAGTTTGCGTCTGTACTGCAGCATCGCATGGACCACATTCCCTGCCCGTGCAGCCTGTCGGTGTGTGGGGGTCATGTACAAGAGGTCCTTTACATTCACCACAGAGACAGAGCAGACATATCAAGTCAACACAAATAGAGAGAGAGAAGAGCATATGGGCATTTAAAAAGGTGAAGCTGATCTAGTGACAGTATATCTTACCATTATATAGAAGTTACTGTTCACCATGATAGGACCCCTGCCCCTGAGGTAGATGTACTCCTCCCACCAGTCACTTACCTAGAGAATATAACACATTATTGTATAACACTGTGATTCAGTTGAGTTTGAATTCCAATGTTGTATCACTTGTAAATACTACTCACATAATTTGTTGCCCACCAAGATTTTAGGATTAGGTATCTCTGCAGGTGGGCTGCTTTGGACTCTTTAAAGTCATTGGACAAAATCTCCATTTGCTTGTACTGTTCACTGTCCAGCAGAGGATGGACTGACTCAAGGTACTGTAGGAAAAAACATGTTGTGTGTTGTCAGGAAAATGGAGCAGATACAGAAACATAAATCCTGGAAGACATCCTGCACATGTGCAGCTAACAGGACATGACACACTATCTTTCACAGAGTGTAGGAAGGCAACTAGAACAGTAGGTGGTAGTACAGGCAAACTTTGTCTGTATGGTCTATCACGTTACCATACATACCTCAAATGGTTAGAAAAGGCTTTATTGAGTAGGTTTAGTCAATGTAATACATTTGTTTAAATACAGATGTAAAAATGAGAAATAAGAGTTAGAAATTTGGTATTAATTTAAAATTACCATGATGTTGCAACATGTGAATATAGTTTTGGTGTATAATTGCGTTCGAAAACAGACATAGCTTTAATATTTAGACAATGTTTGACTACTATGTACCAGTCTGGCTACCTTCTACCCATGCACTTCAAGTGTTTCCCTGGTAAGTCCAGTCACAGCTAAGATTTGAAAGATATTCCTAAATACAGTTAAAATGATGCATTTAGTCATTCATTTCAATAAACCACTGGTTCACATTTTTGGTCATGGAAGGTAAATTCTGTGTAATTACACACCCTCTGGATTGTATCATCCACATTGGGCACAGGGAGCCGAGGTAAGGAGGCTTGGAAACTATAGAGGAGCGGCCTGCGACCAGAGAACATCTTCACCAGGCTCTGGTAACAAACAAACAACACCCAGAACATCATACACATATAGTATATAACCCTTTATAACAAACCATACCATAACCATAATCATAACCAGACATACTGAGGCACATTAAATGAGATGATATACTGGCAGCTAGACAACTTAATAGCAGATGTTAAAAAGTGAGTGACAGACAAAAGGACAAACGTACTAGCCACACTTTTGTTGACTTGCTCATTTTTCCATGGGATTCAAAAATCCATCCATGGTAGGAGAGAAGAGCTTTGAGGGTGTATCTCAAGAGGTAGATGAGGAACAGCCAGAGTGCAGTGGCAAACAAGATGGCACTCAGCACCGCCCGGGTCTGCACTGACATATAGTCTCTGCTCAGAAAAGGCACAACACTGCCTCCGTCAACAATAGGGTAAAAATTTAGAATGACTTTATTTTTTACATAGCTGACATAGTAGGGTAAACACATGTGTTACCTATGATACTAATTAAGATTATGGTCAAACAGGTCTGTAGGGACCTGTGGCTGCAGAAGATTTCTGACCTGTGTGGAAGGTTTTCCTTGATTGCGTCAATCATTCCTAAAGAGGGGTCTATGCGGATATACAAGGAACTCATCATGGCAATCACAACTATCAGCCAACTGGATGGACTGGCAGGATAAACTCCAGCCAATACGCCATTCTGTGAATGAAAAGCAACAAGATTCAATTTTACCTCGAGATTAATCTTCAATGTTCTGTCTAGACAATGTGAAATAAAATGCACAGCTACTGAAAATACCTTTATAGATCTTAAATGCTCAGTTTGAAAGCTTGTTTGTAATTTTGTTGAGTGACCCCAAATTTCTGGACACTGATAACCAAAGCTGGATCTGAAGTGTTGGCTACTGTACCTTGAATTGAATGGCTCGTTTCTTCCATGCTGTCACTCCTGACAGGTAGATGTTTTTGATGACTTCTTGACTTAGTTTAAAGTCCACACCATCTGGGCGCACAGTGAACTGGAAGCCCACCGCCTGATGCGCCTCAGCCATCTATGAATGGTACAAACATATAGAAAATAAGGAATATAAAATAATATAAAGGAAAGCTCTTTAATCAGGTTTCTGGCTGGAATTAATCACTATAACAATAATGTTAAAAAAAAACAAAAAGTTCAGTGGAAGATGTGGGTCCTGATAAAAATATACTAAAATTTGAATATAAAAAACTGTTTCCCTTCTCCATATGTTTCATTGTAAAGGTTTTATTATCATTAAGTGTTTCAGAATTTAAAGAAATGTAAACTCAGCCATCGTAGGATCTCCTGTGCTTTTAATGTTATAATTTGATAATAATACATTCTATCGTTCTATTTTCTTTCTTTTGTTTTTATTTTACTACAAAAGAACTGGTAGATTTTCACACATTGGACCCACTGTTGGGACACTGTTTGAAGGAAAGTCGCACTGTTTGTCTGTAGTGTTTGCTCATAATGTGATAGGAAGGCCCCTGATATGAGATTAACAGATGTCAGCATTAAAAATACATATTTTCCTTTTTTCCATTCAGTTATTGTTTTTAAATGAAATTTGCATTTGTGAAATTCTATTCACCAACCACTCATGTAATGGGTAGGGTAACAGGTCTAGGATTTCTTTTTCCATGTCATATGACTGAACAGTCACCAAGTGGGACAAAGTTCAATGGCCAGATATAGCGGTGCACCGGCTGAGCATGTGCATAGACCTCAGATGGGTATGAAAATATAAACACAGAGTACAACCAAGACATGAATGCCAAACCCTACAGAACACTGAGAATTAGTTGAAGTTGAAGGTCAGAATTAATTTACTGATCAATTTAACAAATAGCCAAAATATATTAACACTTGACAGTGTCATTGAACTTCCTTACCATGATTTTAACCTGTTTTTTCTCATACATGGCTTAACAATGAAAATAACACACTAAAGGATATCTTTCATCTAGCCTTTTTACCCAAACCTGTTACTGTATACTCTTGTGTAACTAAAACATAGAGTTTACACTACAACTATTAACATCTGCAGCTAACACAACTATATACAGATCTGAATAAGAATTACAAATACAAGACAGACTCATACTTTACCTTTTGTCAGACCAAAATCAGTATAATCTACTCAGGCAGGCAGTGAGGCAGAGAAATTCTTCTGTACTCAGGCTTGTATGTGTGACTCCAATGCCCTTGATGTGGCTTTCCTCAGGTAGTGAGATCAGAGCTGTTGTCTACTGTGCTTTCTACCCTCCCTCTCTCCCCCTTCCCCAACACCACTCTCTCTCTCTCTCCCTCTCTCTCACCTCCCTTCCACTATCACCCATGACAAGCTTCTTTTTGTAACAAGACACCAAACATAGACAGAGCCGAACCTCATGTGGCTTCAGGACGCTGCTATGTAACTGAATCTGCTGCAGTGCTGTGTAATATAAGTGAGACCAATGTGACATTTTCTTTTCAGTGACTGAGAATGCAAGCATTAATGCAAGCAGTATTTACCTGTGTGTGATAAGAATAACGGCATGCAATTATCTGATTATTATCAGCATATTCAAGTGTTGTGACTTTGCCTCGATTACAGGGTTAGAAAATGGGACGTAATGGTGTTTTTCAAGAGAAGCTAGAGTTTTGTAATTTTAGTAACTTGCCTCACTTAATTGATTTAATCTAGTCCACCATGGAAGCTCTGCTAGTTGTTCCCTGCACTTATATCTGAATAAAAAACTCATCACTCAGATTTGACGACAGTCAGTGTTCATTATTATTTTATTAATTGGTTGAGTTACAGTTTTGTTAATTTCTAACTGTTTGATCAATAAATGCATCACTGCAAACTACGGTGCAAATGCAAACTTGTTTCTGATTGGTAATGAATAATAATCACAATTCCCAACTGATTCACCTCATCATTTCAAGTCAAAAGACTTCTAAGTTTAATTAACTTGAAGTAAAAAAAACTTGTATATTTAGGTCAAGTTAATGAGAAAAGATTAGTTGATTCCACTAAATGAATGTATGGATTTTTACAGAGCTTTAGGTTTAAGTCTAATTGTAGTCTGGTTTTAGAAACAAACTTTAAACTAAAGGATTGAGGATTTTAAACACAAGAGATAGAGATAATCCACCATTGCTAATCCACCTAGGGAGTTTATCGTCTTATGCTTGAGAAAGACTATACAGTATAGCAAAGAAGCTAACTACAACATTAAAAGTGAAGATAAAAGATAGCTTCATAGCGAGTGAAGATGGGTAGAGGTGGAAGAGTTCTGAGGGAGAGAGTTTGAAGATCCATAATTCCAACAGTGTTGTGCTCTATGCTTGGCATCAGGAACTGGCCACTTGCAATTGTCCCCTGTCCTGCAAATGCCACTTTCTCAGCCCTGTTCACCTAAAAAAGAAACAAAAAAGATTAAACAGATTCTGAATATATTAGGTCTTTGTGCTCCAGATACACATAACTCAGCTATTTCTAAATGTGAAGAATTTGTGTTATCAAATGTTGGATTCAAACCTGTCCCCATCTCTGGGACTGCAAGCAGAATGATATCACCACATTCTCTGAGTTATTCCCACCAATCACAAGGAGCCTGTCGGAGGCACCCAGGAAGTAAAGAGCAGGGAGGTCTGCATCCGCTCTGGTAAGAGTGGGAAGCAATTCAGACCAGGAGTCTAATGGACAGAGAGAATACAGTACCACTGTTAGTGTTAGGAAATGGTCTTAACAGTAAGTATGACTTGATTTTATGATTTCTTGAGTTGATTTCTAGGCTGTAAAAAACATATTCAAACAGGTCTGTAGTGTTCTATCTTACCTTGCTTTGTGTTGTACTGCAGCAGGAGTTTCTCTCCAGTCCTCTCGATGCTCCCTAACACATAGAGACAGTGTCCAAGGCTAGTGGCAAGAGGCACGTCATGGCCCAAAGACATGGTAAACTGGAAGTCAGTGAGCGGCAGTGAGGAGACAAACCTAAAGCAGAGATTATATTCAGTCACTAATACCCCAACAAATAATTGATGGGGAAATATATCATTAGAACAGACTAGCGCAATTTCTCAGTTCTACCTGCTGTAAGACAGTGACAAAGAGGAAATGCAAACCTCCATGTGTCATCCCATGGATCATAGCGCTCTACAGCTGTATAGAGAGCTGTGCTTGAGTCCGGAGTCACCAGTGAGTCCAAGTACCAGCCCCCCACAGCATAAATACAGCCTTCACAGGCCACTGCACTGAAGTGCCTTCTGTGCTGTGGACACAGCAGATGGTGACAATTTTCATAGGTATTATATAATTGACTGAGGGAGACAAGAGAAGTTTTATTTTCGGTCAGACAGACTGGTCCTCAGCTTGAGTCAAAGACTAGAAGACTGTCTCACCTTAATCAGAGGAGCTGTGGCGACCCAGTTATGAGTAAAAGGATTATACCTGAAGGAAGCCATCTTAAACTCCCAGCGTCTTTTCACACAGTGCCGGTAGCCTCCTATTATGTACAGATAGTTATACAGGACCACTGTAGTGAAACACCACTTATCAGCCCTAAAAGGAAGCTCTGTAACCGGATACCAATCTCCGCTGTCCTCTGACCCTTTCAGGGTAAAGATAGTTCGTGCACGTTCTGTTTCTGGGTCGTTCCATGAAGTCAGGTTTTCTTTTCTAAGGCTGCAGAGATGTTGGTCTCCTTGTAGCCTCAGGTGGACAACTTCATCCTTCTCTTCATCATCCAGGCACCTGGTATGAATCAGTTTTAGGGACAAGAAAGAAACACAAACACAAACTCCCTATAGAAAATCCTGTCCAAAAGACAGTCCAAACATTTCAAGTCACGTAATTCACAGTATTGCATACTTGATGAGGTGAGGCATCTCCAACAGGTTTCTACTCAGGTAGTTGAACACTGTCACCTTCAGCTCCACACAGCAGATTTCCTGAGCCAGACTCAGGTAGGACAAACAGTTACCTGGGCTGAGTTCATCTTCCAGGACTGCGAGGCACTTTGAGAGGAAGGCCTCAGCCAGGAGATAACTGCTGACCTCCACAGTGAGAAAGGGAGGAAGCAAGAGGTGGTAGGTTTGTTTGGGGGTGAAGCACACAACTGGATTTGCAAAGAAGAGTCTGAGATGTGCAATAGGGACAGGCATAAATATACATGGTTATATGGAGTCTGCATACCTGGATGTGTGTGTCCAACTCCTCCCGAGACACTTTAAACTTATTATTGAAGGAGAACTCAAGGAGATTGTATAAGATGGAGGAGGACACATGGTCCAGCTGGATGAGGCTCTCTGAGGTCTCTCTCATCCGTGACTGGGACAAGGCTCTGAAGTACTCGCTGCACTCTGAGAGTCTCCCAAGGTCCACCTTAAAAATTAATTATTAAACCAAAGTTACTTCAGCCTCAAGTTTTTGATTAAGCAGTTGGGGTTGGGTTTTTTGTTTTTTACTTACATGGAATGCATGTGTGCTGGTTTGGACTGTAACCATGGTTTCATCTCCATCTCCAAGGTGATATGTGCGGAGTGCTTCATTGGTCTTCCATTCCTCTGAGTCTGCTTTGCATGATTCTCTGTCTGTGATACCTTGGGATGCTATCCAGTTGTTGACTATTGGAAGAGCTCCCCAAACTCTTGTAAGAACACATTTCAGCCAAAAGCTTATCCACTCAAAGAGTATCATAAAACATTGCCTGAGAGGATTCATCTCACTAACAGTGTTGTTTGGATCTAAGTTTAGCCCATTTTTAAAACTTTCGGTGCCATATGTTTTGGATTGTTAAACTCTAAAAGGTCTAAAGATGATATGCACCTCTCACACAACCACTGCTCCAATCACATATGCAGAATGGCATTGTAAATCCTCCAAATAAAGGAAGACAAGCCCCCCCACCAAGAATTCCAAACAGCCACTGTAATAGAAAAATAGAGGACAGAACAGTCAGTCTGGTCCATGTACCACCAGCTCGTCTTCTTGTAACTGCTCCGGTTTTCCCAGTCACGTGCCCTTTGACAGCATTAACAGCAAAACAGCTGGGAGCAAAGATTTAGGACCACATGCCAGCAAAAACAGCATGGTACAAAAAACAGTGCAGTACACTGCAAGGCTGCTTCTTCAGCTTCTGAATCCCTGTTTGTTCTGGAACAGATTCAGTAGATTAAAAAAAGTTTCCTTCAACTGTGAGCAGTAAACTTCTTTCTAGCCGATCTATTCTTGGAACATGGAGGTGGGGCAACAGTCAACCCTCTGCGATGAAACATGGTCTCCTTCACTCTACTCTAGACGTCATCATGAGATACTCAAGTTACTTAACAGTTAGCATGAGAGTAACTTTGCTTCACAAAATGTATTAAATACATTTGTCAAAATATCCTTTGAGACAAATACATAATTGATGAAAAGAAAAACAGGTTCATTGTACATAGGTTTATTAGTTAGTGCAAAGAGAACCAACATGATACAGAGAATTAAACTGTGCTGGGACAATGATGCTTTTAAAAAAACAGCTATAAGCAGTTAATGAGGCACAGTTAAGCTTCTAGTTTCTTCGCATGAGTAAACTGGTGCTGTAATGTGTAAAACAAAGACACCAAGACGTTAACTGATGGCAGTGCATTCAAAATGAGTCAAATACAGGAGACGGTCTAAATAAATAAAAGAATGATAATGGAATTTAAACAAACGAAATAAAAAGAAAAACTGTCAAAACCCCACTTCACATTCAAACAGGATAATGGAAAGTCAGAAATTAATCTAATTTAGGTTGATGTGGTTGCATACAAGTGCCAGATGGACGTTTTAATTAACCTAATATAATAGGTAAGAAGGACAGATGTTAAAATATTCTTGAAGAAGAAACTGACAGACAATATCATCAGCAAAGAATGATACATAGATAACAAAAGGGAATACAAGCTGACTTAAATAAAGGCAGACAGTTACAGCAGAAATGTACAGTTAATAGCGGATATCAAAAATGGTGACAGAATCAAACATTACCGACATACATGCCTTACACTTTGCAACTGTTCTAATGGTCAAATTAACAGTATTTTTGACTACAGTAAGACTGTATAAAATAGCCCTCGTAGTAACTTTACTGGACGTTTAAAGAACAATTGGAGGGGAAAATTTTCAAATGCAGCTTCAATCATCAAAACTATAAACCCTAATGCAGACTAGAAATCAGAAGAAAGATGTGAGGTAGAATGACTAAAAACACAAAAGCAAAGAGAGATTTACAAAAGCATTCCACGCTGAACATAATAGTATTTGTTTAGTATAGCAAAATGACTATTGCAGTTAATATTCACTGTCTGAAAGTAAAAGACAGTAATTATTTGTACTATACTAGTACTGTAGAGCTACACCTGCTCTAACAAGATTCCTGACTATGAGGATAGGTGCTTCAGTAAAATTCTGCAGGCTCAGATTGTGCTTGTGCACTGTGTTCAGACCTAAATGTATACCTTTCACACAACATTGCATGTCATAAGCACAGCTGCATAGGACTGGAGATGAGCTTGAAAACAGGTAAACATTCTGAATGATGAATCAGGAGAAGAGCTTTTTTTGCTTGTAGTAGGCATCAAAACGACACTGGGCATAGTCCTGGAAAACAATATGGTTTATTACAATTTAAATATTAAATACATTAAATAAATGTAGTACTTAGCAGATGTCTACATCCAACTGTAAAAGAAAAAAAATCTTCTTACCATGTATCCAAACTCAATCTTGGAGATCTTTGCTTGAATAACGGACCACAGGCCCCAGAGGAAGTGTGATGCTAATGCATACCTACAAATAAAAACAAAAATAATGACGACAAAACAAAACTACGTCTGTGGTGATTCTTTTAAATTTTACATTACATACATTTATTGATGTGAATCAAAAGAACACCACGTGTTACCTGTTAGCTTCAATAATCATGTCCTCTTCAATCTGTGTCTGGTCCATGGCAAAGTCAGAGTATCTTCTTTGTTCTGCCAAATAACCTCTGATAAAATGAAGCTGAAATAAAAAACAAAATGATTAGTGACATATTTAATAAATGTAGTAAAACAGTTGTTGTTGTGTTGTTACACAAATGCTTAGTGTGCTGTATTGAGTGATACTGAGTGAATAACTGATTTTATTTTCAACATGTGCAACAGCATTTGATATAGCCTTCTCTTAAACTCAAAATTGCATTTAAAGGTTTTACCACTAGATGGCACCGTGTAACCAGAACACTTATTTTCTCTAAAGAGATTAGGGTTAGAACTTGGGTTTAAATTTAAAACCAGCAATGTAGTTTATACTATTAGTCTGAGCATCACTGGGAGAAGTGAGTAGAAAAACGCTGAATCAGCTCTATATCCAAACAGTATTTATCAGAAGGGTGGTAAAATTGGGAATATTTGAATTATGTTTTCATAGCTAAAATCATTGAGGCTGCATGATTGTGAGGGAAAAAAGCCAACATAATCTTTGTCTAATGCATTTAATGCCTGTAATTAAAGTAAAGGTTTTCATCAAAATTTCCAGTTTCCAGTTCCTTGTACTCTTAAGTATATGAATTATAATTAAATTTTACCATAACAATGCGGAGTAGCAATTTTATTCCAAGTAAAAGAGAAAATAATAGTGTTTTTAAGCTATTATGCTTACATTTTATTCTTGTGGGATTGGGTAAAAAAAAAGGTAGACAGTCTTTATTTGGGTGACTCACCTGCTGCTCTCTGGTGGGGTAGTTCTCAGGTGTGGCTTTGTAGAAGGGCCACTGGTTATAGGTGTAATCATACATCCATTCACAGAAATGGTTCCCAAAGTCAAACCCTCTGCACAAAAGAAAATATAATATCATTCATATTAATACAAAAGGGATGAATCTAAAAAAAACAAAACAACACTCATTCATAAACAATGACTCATATATTTTTTTTTAAACCAAATCTATAAGTTGACATGTTACCTGTAATTGTAGCTGCTGTACTCAAAGTCTATTAGCATGAGTCTGTCTGTTGAAGTTTGGTCCCGGTCTTCCAGCATTAGAATGTTACCTGCAACGCCAAAACAAGAAATGAGAAAATGATCATCGTCCACGCTGACGAGTCACACTGATTTACTTAAGCTACTGTCAGGATTAGACCAGAGGGTAGTTTTTTGGTGAGTCGTCTGTGTGAATGCACGTGTAAATAATTGATAATGTCCATTGTTCTGGCGCTACAGTTTCAGCATATATGACATAACGTGCTTCCAACTTTGTGGCAGCAGTCTGATGAAGACCCTTTTCCATTCGACCTCAGGGAATGCTGGTTGTGAGCGAGGCATTATCACCCAATGTTAGTACCAAACATTGCTAATGCTCTTGTGGCTGAGGCTAGCAAGACACTGAAACTGAAAATCTTATAGAGAGCTTCCCAGAAGAGCGGAAACTGTGACAGCAGCATAATAATGTTGTGGCTTGAGGTGTGTCATACGTCTCAATAACACATAGGTATAATTTTCAGGTGCAAGTTCATTTTAGGTGAAAGCCTGTTGCCGGTGAGACAGTTCCATTCATTAGAAACCTAAATCTAAATGTGAACTGTCCCTATTAATAACTACACCCAGCCTTCCTTTGACTTATGCAACATACTGCTCTCCTAGGCAATGTGACAATGAAGAGTGTTGATCAATCATCCCAAATTAGAGGTGTGAGGATAACAGAGCAATCAGAGGAGAGGATATGTTTTTGTGTTTTTTTTACCTTCCTGGACGTCATTATGGCAGAACACCACTGGCGATGGAGTTGCTGCTAGCAACGCACTGTTGGGGAGACAAGAGCCAGAGGAACAGAGTAGGGAATGAGAGAAAAAGAGGAGAGGAGGGAATGAGCAGTTTTAGTGTGATTATTTGTTCTGCATAGCAGGTATTTATGGAGGTGTTGTTGGTATACTAAGCAATTCAAAGTGTCTAAACACTTTCAGAACACTCAATATGTTCTTAGTGCATGTCATTGAGAAAGCTCAAGTACTGCTCATTGAACAAGTGGCAAAAGATGTGTTCAACTCTCTAGAAAGCTTGGGAGTATATAACGGAAATCCTGAACATTCTGGGGGGATCATTCCTGAAAGTGGAAAGAAAAAAAAAACTAAATGTCACTCTGAGTGAATGACCTAGAACAAGCTAAGAAAATAGTACCTTGAAGTCTTCTATCTGTGTAAGCAAAAGAGATATTATCAGCTCAGATAAATTTAAGGACTTAAGATGACTGCAGCAGAAGGCCAGGGGATTTTCCAAGCAGTGGCTGTTACTGTATGTCTGCTTCAGTGCGAGACTGGTACATATCCAAAAGATAACAAATTTCTTCATAGATAAACACCGGGCTGAAGAGGACTCAGCTGTGAAGTTGTGGAGGCACTGGGACAAAGGTCGGTCATTAGACAGTAAACAAAATACACCTGTCACCAAGATTCAATTCCTGTGTGTAACCTCCAACTTAACCCTTATAGCCTTATTTATGTAACATGCAATCTATCAATAAGTATTAACCTAATTTTACTGCTACTGTTGCATGATTTCTAAAACCTGAATACATTTCAGTGGTCTTATCTTGTCATGGTCTTATCTCATCTGGTGATGAGGACATAATGTACTTGTACTTGTTCTACCTTTCGTCACCAGTTAGGACTTTGCTGTTGCAAACCCAGTTGCATCATTAATCTAACCTGACAACAAAAACTATTTAATAATAGAAATAACACTGTTTAAGTCCCAGTAGGTACATTTTATGCTGTAAGGTGACATTTTGTTTGAATTCAGCAAAAGTAATTTATATGCAGACCAAACCTGAATCTGTGACTCTGTGACTCCCTTACATGTTGGATAAATAATATAAATTAATTTATATGCCAGAGCACAGGCTAAATGACACATGACTTGCTGTCCCACATTGGTTTTCAGTGCCCACATGTCAGCAGGATTACTTTGTAGCTTCATCGGCAAACAAGAGGGTCTGCATACATCCATTTAATTGTTTAATTAGATTACATTAGATTTACCCGTGGTAACGGACATGCTGCTCAGTTGTGAAGCCGTGGCAGTCGTGGTGCCAGAAGTGTCAAATACTTGGAATTCCTGGAATTTAAGCCTACGCTGTGCTGGAAAATGTTTCATTTCAATGACCATTTCTTCTTTTACACCATGACTCCTTCTTGTTGCAAGTTTCCAGCAGCATAGAAGTAAGTTTGATGTCATTGTTTTGCAATGTGCAACTGCCAGAAAAAAACGTGCTGGCATCAATAAAAGGAATTGATAAGCTCGGACAAATACGATTGTGATAGATGAAATCATTTTGAATGGTTCACGATCCACCTCCCCATAGCAAGTGGTACATATAAATGTGCAAAGATATATGCAGTATTAACAGTATTAACAGTGTGATGTGAATATGCTAAGATATATACACAGTGTATCAGTGCTCTCCTGTCTTCCTCTCATCATCTGGGACATGATGATAAATCAAACATTCTTGAGGTTTTTGGTGGTGTCCCTCAAATGTGAGTGGTTGTACAGGCTAACCAGCCACTCTGTCTGAAGTCTAAAGGGAAGTTACAGTAGGTAATATGAGATGGCTCTGACTAAACAGCATCTAGAGGGCACTTGGTCGTTCCCTTCAAAGTCATTTTAAAACAGACCGGAAAACTCTGGACACTGGTGGGTGGAGAGGAGAGGGCATGCTAGAGGTTTAACTGTACAGACATTACATAACCCTACCTGCTACAACTTTAAGTCTTTATGAATACCATACATATAAAGTGACTCCATACACTATATAATATTTGGACATTTGAGGCCTGTGTCCCAACTCACCGGAGGCTCTCCAGCTCAGCAGGCAGGTCCAACTTCATCAGCTTCTTGTACTTTTTCACATGTGCTTCACGTACAAAATGAAGCTTCATCACTTGATCCATGTATCTAAAAGGAAAAAAACAGACAGTATATTTGATAATTAAAAAAACAGACAGTCCTAGTAGAAGAAAGAGAGTGATATAAAGGTGTCCTTACTTGTCAATGGTCCCAAACAGCCACTTAGGCTCTTTGTTAAAGGGCATAAGCATTTCATGAAAACGTGCCAACTTTGTGGCAATTTCAGCTGAGATGGATGGATCTGAAAGTTGTTCTGTGTGCATGCGGGTATTCTGGGAAAACAAAGACACAAAGAAATGACGTATTTTACAAATGCTTCCTCTACTTTAGGAACTAGGCTCACCTGGACCTTTAAATCGTCAGAGAAATTATGCCAGTACATAGACAACCAAAGCACAAAAAAGGATTTCAGTAGAAGCTACACATTATAGTTTGACCCTGAATGTTGTATGCTTCACACAATGACCTCCAGGAGAGACACACAGTGTGTCTATGTGTGTGCATTATACCGGAAGGTACTGTTCTAAGCGTCCATCAGGGAAGATGCCATAAAGTTTTGGCCCAAGCATTCGCTCTGCCAGGATGGCAAACATCACGCTCTCCAACACCAGGGAGTCCACTCCCTGCATCACAGAAAGAGAGACAGTCACAGTTTGATTATGTTTTTTGGTTTTGGTTCAAACTTCCATGTGAAGGACAGTGATACTGCTATAGTAGATTGGATGCAGTAATAATAAAATACAATGGTTTCCTCTTGCAGCCACATACATTAATGAACAAATATACTGCAGGACGGACCAACCTGTAAGATGGCACCATAGATTCTGAGGAGCACCTGGCGGGGTTCCTCTCCCACACAGTGCACATGGTCAGGCAAACTGCACAGGTACAGCAGGTTACTCAGTCCACCACTGCAAAACAAGAACACCAGTGTTATCACATAGGAGCAAAGTTAACATGACCCAACAGAATCTAGTCATAAATATAGATAGATAGTGAATGACTTTTATTTATCCCCGGGGGGTTAATTAAGGATTAATAATAAATATTAGTCAGAAAATACCAGTAGATTTAGCTTAGAATGATCTGTATGTTTCAACTTCAAACAGTACCATGTTTAGTATCAACACACACACACACACACACACACACACACAACTATTTTGCCACCCTATTTTATCTGTTGTAATGTTTTCAGTTCAGAAATAAATGGTAATCCTACAGTGTTAAAGGGATGCAATATGGATATCACAACAAATATGACAGAACAAGTCAATGACAGCAACAATAACACAGGACATGGTGAAAAAAATGTCAGTAAGCCGAGTAAATAATGGCCATTATAAAAAGGTATTATTAGAAGACACAACAGTCGCCCCTACACATCAGCTAGTGTGTGTATAAAGTAAAACTTCAAATCGCTCTGTGATTATGCTATGGACAACCTGTATCCTCATCACGGTGTTAATTCACATCATTCACCTGACGATGCTGATTTGAAAATCTCCCTCTCTGATGGTTTTCCACGACCCTGACAGAAAGTCTCGGCACCACGCAAACGCCCTGCCCCTGGTGTCCCGGTCCACCTCCTCGGTTCTCCCATCCCGGAAAGACTCTGCCTCCGAGTCGTCATCACAGTTGGCCCCAGACAGGGGACTCGGGGTCCTCAGCTTCCTCTCGTTAACGACAAGCGTGTGTCCCAGTCGTTTCTTCTCCGCCGGAGGACCCGTGTCCGCAGTAGTGGTGACAGTAGGAATGCTGCTGAGAAGCCCCGGCCCCGGTTTATCGGCTCTGCCCGAGCCCTCTTCATCGCAGCTGCTGCTGGTCACACTTCGACCCGACTGCATCGTGAGTTTGCGGGCGAAGAGCAGCGGCAGAGCAGCGTTAAATGTCGGTCTAAAACGGCAGGCGGGACTCGCTGTCAAACGCAGTTCGCCGGTAAAGCTGCTTAACCGGAAGAGCCATCCATAGCTGGATGGTGTGAATCGCATTGGAGGGGGGAGTGGTTGATAGCGACCGTTAAAGTTTAATCAATTCAGATTTGACTGGTTCACTTCCTCGCAAACGCAATGACTGCTGAGGCGAACTGGCGTGTTCAACAGCCAATCACAATTTATTTCCGCGTTCACATGCCGAGCTCATTGGTCGTTGCTAGGCGACAACTTCACACGTCAGTTTCCCGTACGCAGAACAAAGCTTGCTGGGAAATGAAGTGTACGTTGGATGTATTGACTACTATACTCTCTCTATGTGATAATGGACAGTGTCTGCCCTACCGTAAAGAGTTTTATTTTGTATACACTATGTACTGTATTCTACCTGTATTTGCACATCCATTTGCACTGTTTACTTCCACTTGCACTCCACTCCATTTGCACTGTTTACTGTAGCTACTGTTCATTTTATACTGTTCATTTTATATATTATATACATACATAATACTTTATATCTTATCTTTTATCTTATTTTTGATTCTGTTCTTAAGGTCAGGGTTTTTAATTGTATCTATCTATCTGTCTGTCTCCTGAGATGGTGTGGTTTTTGGTTATCCTCTGTATGGGTTTTCAATAAACTCATTATTTGGGGACTAAAAGTAGTCCGGCTCCATAGCTTGGGGATACCACCGGCCTATTTATTTTGTAGTTTTATTTCATATTACAGCCTTAGATTTTTACTTAGCCTACCTTATTTGAATTTACAACTATAATAGACAAAGTAATACATGCAGTTTGGCCCTCGTAGTGGGCCTTTTAAAACACTGTGTTCATTCTGATGGATTGTTGAGGAAATTTCAAGGTTGATTTTTAAACTCTTTTAGTGTGTATTAATATATAACCTGTGCTTTATGTTTGGTATGTTTGGGAGCAACAGGATATATAGCCTGAGTGGTGATTATGGGCGAAGAGAGGACATTAAAGAACACTAGCACTGCCCTTTAAAAACTTTGAAAAGTAGGAAAGAAATGCAAATTCAAAATAAAAGACACCCAATTCCGCTGGACAGCCTATAACATAAAAACTAATAAAAACATACATAATAGTATATAAAACAATCAGAGATTGGTCCAATTGTTAGCTTAATGCAGTATACATAACCAATAATTTATTTATTCAGTGGTTTAAATTTATTCTGAAATGTAAAATGACAATACCACAATGTGTTAGGCCGTCATTATCATATATGTATATATATATA